ACCGGACTCAGTTACAGCAGTTCTGTCAGGAGGAATGGGCCAGAATTCCAGCAAACTATTGTGAGAAGCTTGTGGAAGGAAACCCAAAACATTTGATCCAAGTCATACAGTTTAAAGGCAATGCTGCCAAATATTAAGGAAGTATATGAATATTTCTGACTTTGAAGAATGTAATAATAAAAAAATATCTCTCTCTCATTATTCTGGTATTTAACAAATAGAAATAAGAAATAAATAGAAAAATAATAGAAAAGTTTAGTCTGATTTAATGTCAGACAGAGAAAAAAATATCTTTTTATACAGTGTATGTAAACTGCTGGTTTCAACTGTAGTCGAACCAGCTGAAAGACTGGTTCTCATCGTGGTAGGTAGGCGGAGGTGCTAGTTTGACTGTGGTTGTGCTCATCCTGTCTGCACAGTCATAAAGGGATTGACCTCTGTTCTTTTAGGTGTTATAGTAGGTATACATAGTGATACTTGCCTTTTGTTCAACAGAGTTAGGCCATTGTATTCACAGTAAAAATCGTAAAGGAAGAAAAGGTAGTAGTTTGTTGTGTAAGTAGTTTACAGGTACAGTGAATGTTAATGTTGGTAAGAGCAGCAACATTTCAGAGCAAACAGAAGAGCATAGAAACTCTTCTCCAACTCCACCCTGTCTCTGTTTCACTCTCCGTTTCTCGGTCTTTCTGTCTCTCTCTGTTTAATAAACAGGTTTTTTTTAAAAACGTTAAAATGCTGGCGACCACACCTTTTTTTTTTTTTACAGAAAAACTTGTTACAGTGTAGAATGTGCTCACCTCTTACTCCATGTGCTCTTTCTCTTCTCAAGATACTTAATGTTGATCACATGGCTGATTTCTCCTATGGTTTTCTTGAAACAAGGGCAAGCTCAACTAACCCACAGGCTCATCTTACTCCACTCTCCCCTATAGCTTCTCTGTGAAGTCCAAGTCAAACGAAGGTGCCAGTGTTTGAATTAAGCCCGATCAAGTTCGTCCTAAAGTTTGCAATGAACAGCTAATAAGGACGTAACCATGACAGATCTCTCTCTGTGTATGTGTAGGTGTAGCATTTACGTGAGCAAATGACGTAAAATGGAAC